TACTACTTAGCATGTCAATGTGCATTTTGACATCACTTTGGATCTCAGCACACTGATGTGCTGCAACCCACAGCGACCAATCACATAACAGATTCTAGGTTTGGGAAGGGGTCAGATTTAGACTGGACATAAACATCCTGATCCCTGCCAAGATCCCGGGCATGTGATGCTCATTAACCCTATAGGGCAGATTATGGGGGGTTCTGATGTTGGGAGTACTTCTTGTTGTACACAGAGATTGTCCAGGTTGCTGGAAATTATCTGCATGTAATGGCCATTGAGAAGGGGGAGGAAGGCGTGAACCACCTGAGCATGGATTCAGTTTATTGGGCAAGTCACATAAAAAACAGCAAGGTCACTTATTGCTGTGCTGTAGCACACGTTTATTCAAGGTGTCTTTGGGCGCCATTAAGAATCATTGGCACACATGCAGGTAACACGTATGTTGTGCACATTACTGCAACAAAAAAGCATGAATGGACCCTAATAGTGTATCTGAAGGCCGGTGCACACCTAGGCGAAACCTCACTGCAGGGTCACGGTGTCGCCCAGCACAGATGGTTGCGCTGTGGGTGCCATTACTTTCTAATGGCACCCCAGTCACGACGGGCAAATAGCGCGGTTTCCCACAGACGCGCGTCATGTATCGCAAAAAAAAGTACAAGTACCTTATTTCTGTGATTGCCAACCAGATGTCACCCCATTTAAATCAATAGGGCCGCGTGGCAATCTCTGCCTGCATTGTACAGGACAGCGCGATCCCGGTTGGCTCAGGTCCGCACCGGGCCTAAGGTTTTTTTTTTTTAGTTTGGCAACTATGGAAGGGCTTTAACCCATTCAGGGTTTGTTTGTTTTTTTGCTGCCTGCATGCTGTTGGGACTATTTCCTTCCACTTCCTGTCTTGAAGATAGAGGAAATCTCTCCAAATTGTGTGGAAATTCCTTCTTAGACTGTTGTCACTGGAACAGGTGTCTCCATTGTAAGATTTCCCCTGTTAGGTGATAACTGTAACATTTTAGATCACCCATCCCTGTCTGTCACAGTGATAGTGGTCACCATACATATAGGGAATCTTCTCATTGGGATAAAAAAAAAAAATGTTGGGGGTTTCCACACCATCCAAACCTAAAAAATTTTTTTTCTGGTTTTAGATGCATTTAAGAACTCAGAACATTACTTGATCCAGAAAAAGGCCAAACTGCCCTTAAAACATAACCCATCGATCCTCATTCTGCCCTGTATTGCAATTCTAATACATTATATTATATATTTTAAGAACCAACAACATGTCCCAAAATGAGCCATTTCCCATAGTAACCAATTAACATGACAGATAAAATAAACTGCTGACTTGTTTTTTTTACAGGTAGAGGCTCAAAAATGATCATCATGTTCCTTTTCTCCATCCAGATGACCTGACATGAAAATTTTAGTAAAGGTGACATTTCTTGATGCCCAAATCATCTAATCAGTTTTCTTGGTTTGAATTCAAACTTGAAATGTATAAATGACAATTTGAAACTGATTGGTTGCTATGGGAACTAAAGAGAGAGAGAGAGGGTTGCAGAGAATCTTCAGGGGAGTCATAAGACTCACCATCATTCAAGGCATAGGCAAAATCTCTTCTCTTTCTTCTTTGGTGGTCTATAGAGTTAAAATCTCTAATTATAAAGCACATCCTGTCTCTAATAGTACATATAACAGTGGTTTTATATGAGTCACCTGACACCTGGCAAAGAAGGGTGGCATCACTGCATTGTGCCTGGGGTGCCATGGTGTCTAACTGTAGTCCTGTTGGCCATGAAGTTATAAGAAGGGCCTATACAGACAAATGAATGTTCCCCAACCTGGGTGACGGATTGGGCACATTTTCTCAGAAGTCTGCAGACAAAGTCCCTAGAGGATAGTTGCACATGCAGGCAAGATCCAGCCTCATGTTGGCATTGCCATCTTTCAGCGGGTTTTTATATATTTTAGTTGGCCACCTAGGCCTAAGAAGAGAAATGGTAAAAGCACACTGAAGAGTCTTGCAGCATTAGCCTACCCAATCATTGCTATGATGCAGGTGATTTACTAAAGGAGTAGAGCCTGTTCACTTAGCAAAGAGTATGTTCACATTTCTCAGTAAAGAACTTGAAGCTGTGTTCAGACTGAATACCCAATCCCATGTGAGTGCAAATTAAAATAACAGGTCATGAATGGATGATTGACGTGAACATGGCCTCAGTTCTTTCACCAAGTGGACATGCTCTGTTCCTTTAGTATTTGCCCCCTTGCCCATGGCCTAGTATTCAAAGTGAACATACCTTATTCAGTTTGCAAGGGGGCCATTCACTAAGTGAACGGTCTCTTAGTAAATGTCCACTTGTACATGACCTTGTATTCAAAGAGAGCACACCTTATTCATTTTGCAAGGGGGGGCATTCACTAGGGGTCAACATGCACTATTCCTTTAGTAAATGCCCCCTTGCACATGGCCTTGTATTCAAAGAGAACTCTCCTTATTCACTTTGCAAGGAGGGGGCATTCACTAGATGAACACTTCTGGAGCACCGTTCCTGGCCATTTAGAAATTCTCACCTTGCACATGACCTTATATTCAAAGTAAACACATCTTATTCACTTTGCAAGGGT